CGAATGTCTTTAACTACGGTGCTCTTCATCCTTTTATCACAGCTTTGACCTGCGCGCGCCGACCCACAAGGTTTACGTACACTTACATCACCTACGACGTTTTATTTCTAAAATTTGCATACAAATAATCTTTCTACTGAATTACGTGCATATTATACTGCAATTTCATGGCTATCTTATACTTTGTTGGGGAGCTGTGGCCGAAAAACCACTTGTTGCTTAAGTTTTGCACACCAGTGTAATAATTGCAAACAAATAAATAACTTCAAAAGTGATTACTAAAATTCGTACTTCACGCATTATAATTTTGTCGAATTAAAATATTGGGATTTTTGAAGCATTCAAAAAAATACATTGATATAGATTTGGTGCAAAATAAACTTAAACACGCAATTCAAAATTTCTGATATTTATTTTCCAAAAAAATTAAAAAAAAAAAATTTATTGCTGCCGCGGGCCGCAAATTGTGCACCCCTAAGTGCATTATTTCTGATTAATAGCATTAATTTCAGTGCCAGATGATACTGCGTTTTTGATGATTCGAACGCCTTATCTTAATCGTATAACGGAAAACCACCGGGAAAAAATAAAACATATGATAAGAAATAAAGTTAATAAGCTTTTATTTTGTTTGAATTGTCTCGGTTTATGCTGCCTTTCAGTTTCGTACATAAATGTGCAGTGTTAATCTATAATTTTCGATTTTTTTTTTTTTACCTTATAAGAAGAACGGGTTTTATGCTATCAATTTAAAAAAAAAAAAAATCAAATAATTTTGAGAAATTCGCTATTTTTACACATTATTGAAAAGTATTCTCTGAAGAAAATTGTAGATTGCAAGATTTTAAGCAGTTACATAAGCTAACAAAGAATTAATTTTATTTATAAGATTAGAAGCATCACAGAAGCAAGAAGTTGATTATGCACATCCTGATTTTCTTTAAAAAAAAAAATATGTATATACATACAATTTTTTATTAATGTAATAAAAATGTGTATAAATAATTAATAAAATTACAAATTCAGCTATTTTTTCACTATCAAACCGTGCTCGAAAATCAACAGACTATTAAAAAAAATCCAGCTAGGATGCTCTGGCAAATCAAAAAAATATTGTTTTATAGTTTTTGAGTCAATAGCGCCATCTTTTGATGAACTTTGCAACGAAATTTGAAGTCTGGTGATTATAAATTTCGTTTTCTAAGCAGAACACGGCAATCCCTACATTTCTATCTCCTTTTGTTTTTCTTTAATAGATTTGTAAAATCGTAGTTATAAAAAATTATATTCTTGGTACAACCAGAAAGTTAGGGGGGGGGGGAAACACTTTTATAGCTATCACAATTGATTGAAAAGTGGTGTAAGCTATTTTAAACGAAACTTACTCTTAAAAATAATAAAGCTACGTGCTGTTATTATATTAAAGGCATTAGATATTGAAAAGAATTGGATACCTGCAAGTGACGTCATCGTAGGTAAATCGTGGTATTTGCCTATTCAAAAGTCAATCTGCTTCGACTCACACGCGTGACGTTACTTACAGGTATCCAATTAAATCTGATTCAAATCACAGGTTTAGGCAAAATCACTTCACTTTTTCTCAAGTTGCAAGCACCCAGTTAGATAAAAAATCACAATGCTACACATAATTTAACAAATGTAAATTAGCAAAACTATTACATACCTTGCTGCTGAGCCTAATAAAAATGATTGAAAAAATGTCTGAAAATAAAAATATACAAAAATTTTTGCTTTAAACGTTTTATATAAAATAGATATACATAGATAAAAATAGTTGTATATAAAAATACCCAGTTAAATTTATATTTTATAAGCATGTTTTTTGTTTAATAGTTCTATTATTACCATTCTTTTTAATTTTTATTTGAATCATTGTCAAAAATAAAGTGATTGAAACCTACTGATTAGGAGACAAAAACAAAAAAAATGAAGAGTGAAAATATATCAATCTTACAAAAAANAAAAAAAAAAAAAAAAAAAAAAAATAAGTGATGAACTATACTAAGTCAATCGCGGTAAAATAATTTAGAAAAATTCGCCTGGTTTTGACTACTTTTCCCTGTTAAAAGTGGATTAAAATGGATTTTTTTATTTCATGATTGAAAAAAAATTACAAATAAGCAAAATGAATTTATTTTTTGAAAGTGAAAGCATCCTTAATAATTAATTAATCTAATAGAACTTATTAGCAATATATTAGTTTTATCTAGCTAATAAATTGGTTGTGACAATTTTAAATTTGACATTGGGAAGATTTCCATTTCGTGATCCGCGGCAGTATAATCGCTAGTGTTGGCAAGCAGCTTTCAGGGTGTGGCCCGTGAGAAACTACAAGAAACATCATCACAGAAGGGTACTAACTCAAAGGGTATAATTCTCAGCCACCTCCAGGCGCGATTTTCCAATCCAGCGGCCTTTAACGACCCATTCTCCTGTTTGACATTTTATTAAATGACTTTTTTTTTAGTTCAGGTAACACATTTTAAAAGAAATAAAGTCTTGCATTATAATTGCACTTAACTACAGCCAAGAGAAAAATACAAAATAAAAAAACGAGTAGTTAAAAAAACAAGGGTAAAATAGCCCTCTCCCCTGGGCAAACCTAGACACGTTTTTTTCTTCTTCTTTTTTTTTAAAAAAATTACCATTTTAAAATCCATTTGGCGCCTTGGCAATTATAGCTGCCGTCAGATCACGATCCCGGAAATACCCCCCCTCACATTCATGTGATTCATCTCTATTATCCAACCGAAAAATTTCATGTTCAGAGAAATATAGGTCAGAGGTTAAAAATTATACTTAATTAAACAAAAATTTCATTTGTCTTTCTATAACTAAATGAATATAACGATAATGCATGTTAAAAATTCTTGTCTCAATAAACCGAGTGACCTATATCAGATTGATGGCTTCTAAAAATTCGAACAAGAAAATTGTGATGGTTAGAAGTAAAAAAAAAAAGAAAAAATGCTGCTTATGTGGCAACATATACAGTTCCTTATTTTTGTTCAAGTTTTTCAACAGAGGGCGCGCAAGCCACTTTTACAATATTTTCCGTAATGATTTGACGTTTGAAAATTTTGTTTTCGTAAAACGATGTGTGATTGTGGCCAATGTTGGCTATTTCCAAAAACATCTTAATGTTATTTTCATTACCTGAATGATTTCGAAAAATTTTGTTTTGATTTTTAATTGTTGGTTTTTATTTTATAGGTTTACAGCGTCATCTGTCGGAACAGTTTTGTAACTAGAACAAAAACTTTGAGTGGAAAAATTTATTTCCTGTCGCATGACGCTGCTACAAACCTTTTTCAGTTATAAATTTTTAAAAACCTTCATTCTAATTTAAGACACTCTATATATTCAACAGCGACGAATAAAGATTTATAATATACTTTAGGCAATATTCAATATTCATTATAAAAATATATATATAAATATACTTACAAAAAGAAACAAACAGATGAAATTAGCTGGAAAACTCCTTCTAACCTTTTCACAACAGGCTAATACAATCATCAAGACAAATGTAAAACCTCTAAAAAAGCACAGTAGAAACGGAACTTAATTTTCATAACAAGTTAAAAAATTTTAATACATTTATAAAAATGGAATTTATTCAACTTTAAATACATAAAAAAAGGAATATTTTAGTTTTATGTTTGATTTAAATTTGCTCCTGAAATTAATATGCTCATTTGTGAACAATGATATTTAGAAATACTTAGTTTTCAAATTAATTATGTTTGCCTGGGGGTGCATTTAAACCTAGGGTCGGCCCTGGTCAGGCGAAGTTTATCAGGTATTACTAAACGGTTATAATCAAACTGGTGAAGAAGTGGAAGGATTTTTTTAAAAATGGCTGAAATAGCTACCATACCAAATCTGAAATGAGCAGCCCTCAAACAAAAACTTTTTGTTCGCTTTTTATATGTACTTTCTTTCACGATTTTTTAAAATGGAAAACTTGATTATAAATGGAAAAAATAAGGTTCTAGATAAGCACCATTCCAGAAATAATTTATACCTTCGACCTGATTTCGTGCTTATGACTACCTATGTTCAACTCCGTAGCCTTGTAATTTTAAACCCAATCCAGAAGAGAGAACTCTTGGATCAAGTATAGTGAGAAATTTTCCTTCGTGGAAGACCTTTTGATGGAACCCGCATTTTCGTTACATTGAGGGGGAAAACCACGAAACTCTCTACGGTTAGCCTGACGGCAAGCTCCGTCTAACCCATGATCCGTTTATCACTGAAAATATTTTAGGTCAGCCTTGTGGTCATCGCGAGTCGGGTGCGGAATTCGTATCGACCAGCCAGCGCTGGGATTAGAGACTGGGGCAACTCATTGGGAGGGAAGCGCTCTAGAACCTGAGGCAACACGGCTCTCAAAGTTTTGCTTGATTTGTAGTTCATTTTTTCCTTAAGGTATATATATATATATATATATCAGGGTTGCAAAAAACCCACCTGCCCAATAAACCCGGGCTTTACTGGGTATAACCCACTCTGAAAAAC